GTCACCCATCCCGATGATTGTTGGCTTGTGTTTCATCCATGACACAGATATCACAGTTAGTGAATGTGAAAGTGCGTCACACCACCAGCATGTGCACTGGCTCAGTCCTTGTTCTTAAAACATGCCATAGATTATACACAGGTAGAAGGAAAGAAAAATGCTTGATTACCCAGTCAACGCAGTGTTGATGTGGGGATTAACCAGCAGAACACAATTATCACTGCTAGCAGCTAGAGCCATTGGCAATGATTGCATGCAAAAAATCTAATAGGCTGGTTGTACTGAACATGATTGATAGATACAACCAGCCTTCCCATAGCTGGATCAAATCTTGGTGGTTCCCTTCTGAACCATCTAAGATTCGATCCATCTATGGTCAGCTTAGGGCTGCTATCCAAGGCTTGCATTTCAACTGATTGAAGATGAATCAACCAAAATTAGAGTCGGGAGTACCTGTTGGCACCATCCCGCTCAACAAAAGTTGAGTGCCCAGTTGACTCTTTGCCTGTTTCACATGGGCTTCAGCTTGTATAAGAGCAATGTAATCAGCAAGGTTTTATCAAGCTTTCAGCCAGATTTTGCAAAGCTTTCGGCAAGCTTCAAGCAGCTTTCACTAAGCCTTTAAAGTGCCCTTCAGCTTCTGTTTGGAAATGTTATCCACAGATCCTAATGGGAGTGCTAACTGCCACTTTAAACAAGCTGCTAGCAGGCTTCAGCAGGCCTTCACCAAGCTTCACGTAGTCTTGAAGCCTGCTAGCAGCTTGTTTAAGGTGGCAATCAACACTCCCATTAGGATCTGTGTTCACCATTTACAAACTGAAGGGCGCTTTAAAAGCCTCAACAAAGCTTGCTGAAAGCTCTGCAAATGCTTTGTAAAAGCTTGCTGTTCATACTGTTCTTATACAAGCAGATGCCTGTGTGAAACAGACCTTTTGAAGGAGACTGGTGGAAAATTGTTGGCTGAATGGCATCTGCATTGGCTAATCTGATGGCTGTTGGTGCCGACTGTCTGAATGCAAATGGCTGGTAGGGCAAAAACGTCCACCGACGCTGTATAGCATGGATGGAGGAATTTGTTTCTTTTATTCAGCCCGCTGCCCTGAATGAAATACATCTATGCATGTATGGCCAACTGTAGACCTATCAGTACTGACACCTAATGAGAGTCCTTTTACTTTGAGTCTGGCCTCATCCTATCCTTTTATCACCAGACTGCGAGAGAACCTCAGCTGCTGAGTGGGGGTAGCTGAGAAAAGTCTAAAATCATTTAAAAATGTAAAACCATTAATAAAATGTGCATAAATTAGTATTAAGTGTATAAATAAAACTATGAACACATGGATTTTTTTGTAACGAAGAACCCCAATGAGCACTTCAATCAACATGATGTAATGCTGGCTTTGATATAAAGAAATAAATCCTTTCAGTGGAAGAAAAATCATTTTGAAAATGTATATATTCACGCATCTATTAGGAGGATGTGGGCTGCATTTATCTTCCTGTGTCCACGTCTCTTGTTCAACATGTCATCGGTGAGTAGATTTGTTGACCCCCCCTAGTAAAGTGACACAAGAGGAAACGTTGAAAGTGTGATGGGGACTGGACTACCAATTAGCTACAACTTGTGTATGTGTAGCAACGTTTTTATTTTTACTGTGACCCTATTAAGCTTCTTTGAGCACCACTCCAGGCACCCATCCAACCTGATCCGGTGATCCATCGGCACCTGAAATGACCATCCTTGCCTTCTGTGTAAAGTATGAATCGGAGATGCCACGGTCCTGAACAGCCCAACTCAGTGATTGGAAAGCAGCCGCAGCCTAGGTGCTTCCCAGGCAACATCCTGACGCGTTTCACCCAAGAACCACATCAACTGTTGAAAGTTCAAACAGATCATTTATTTCCTCAATAAAATCCAATGCATTTTGGTGGCTTCTAAATGCTCCTTCATCAGGGCTGAGTGTTTTTCTTAAAATGGCTTGCTATGATTTTACTGAACACTGGGAGCTGATCACAGTATACATTAGAAGCAGCAGCAAGTCATTTAGAGCTAGCCTCATTTCCTGGCTGAAGCGCTTTACAAATATATATTGGACATTCACATCAGTCCCTAACCCTCAAGGGGCTTACAATCTAAAGTCCCTAACTTTTATCCATACATACACATACTAGGGCCAATTCAGACAGGATCCAATTAACCTACCAGCATGTCTTTGGAGTGTGGGAGGAAACCGAAGTACCTGGAGGAAACCCACGCAGGCACAGGGAGAACATGCAAACTTCAGGCAGGTGGTGCTGTGGTTGGGATAGAATGGGTTTACTGCCCTATGTCCATCCTCAGTCCCCAGGGCAAATGCCCCTCCTGCCCACCCCTTGTCCCGGCCCTGTTAACGGCCTGCTGAAACCTAAAGCAGCCTACAAATCACAGACCAACTGGAACATACTGGGAAATATTTGAATTTGCAGCTGTGCTGTAGAGGCCTGTAGATATCGATACACACAGCAAGCATACACCCTGCAGGCTTTTACATTTTTGGGTTGGCTGTTGGGCGGTGGCTGGAATTTTCAGAATTATGGCACAGTGACGCAGAAAAAAACATTTTTTAGAATGAAATAAACTACCTGCCGTCTCTCTGAAGAGATCATGTGATTGCATGAAAAGCTATTTCTGTTACCAGCAAATTTCAGAGTCATGCCAATCAAGCACTTGGACGACTCCTTAATCAGGCTGCTTTCTCTACCCGTTCGGGTTGATTGCTGCCTCCACAATAAAAAAAAAAAGGGATTTTAATCAGGATTTTCAGCTGTTTAATGACAGTTTAGGAGTGTGATGCGTCTGGGTGGGAAGATAATTGACGTCTGCCCTCTGCTAGGAGACAGTGGTATAGCTGCTCAGCAGAAGGTGCATAGAACTTTAGAAAGATGAATTTAATAAAGCAAAAATGTGTTTTATTTAATTTCTTTATTTATTTTTTGTAATAGCGGTAATGAGAGAATCCACACCAGAAAATCTGTACCTGCGATCTGCCTCATGGATCGCATTATCCGCTGAGAATCAGTATTAAAATATCTCTCCTAGATTGTAAGCTCCAAGGAGCAGGGCCCTCGAACCCTTCGTGTATTGTATTGTTATTGTACTGTCTCGTGTATTGTCTCCCCATTGTAATGAACAGCGCTGAGCAAACTTTTGGCGCTATATAAATACTGTATAATAATAATAATAATCTAAAGGCAAAACTTTTTCAATTTATTTTGGATAGAATAAGGAAGGGGTAAAACGAATGTCTCTGTCTTAATAAACAGATTTTCGTTGGAAATTTGAAAATGTTCCGGCACTACTTGGATGCAACTTTATACTCTCTGGCACTCAAGTTGCATCAAAGTCACATCAAAGTAGTGCAGAAACCTTTTCAAAGTCGCAAACCTAAAAAAAGGTTTCCTTTAACTTTAGATACAGTTTAAGGTACCAGTTTGTAAATGTTATTCTGTATCACGTACACAAAGAATTTTTGGTGACTTAAAAAAAAAAATAAAGTTTCATGAAATTACTGAATTTTTTTTTGCAGGTCAAATTTTGCCTACAAGCCGAAACACACCAAGCCCAATTGACCCGGAATCCATCCAGGTTGCTGTGGGCTATGAACCAGACCCAGCAGATCTGGCCATTTCCACCATTCCAGGGCAGGAGATGTTTGACCCACGGAAGCGCAAATTTTCAGAGGAGGAGCTTAAGCCACAGCCAATGATCAAGAAGGCTCGTAAAGTTTTCATACCTGAAGATTTGAAGGTAATTTGGAAACGGTGTGAAGGATTTATTAGATGTTATGAATTTTGGTGAAGTGGCCTCTCCTAGGGTAAACGTTGGTAATAGTGAGCCCCCTCCCTATCACGCTTGAGCATTTTGTAGCTTGTAGCTCAGTGCTCAAAAACAGCAAGCAAAAACCTATTGTTTTCAATAGCCCTTGTTCACATCTGAGTGTTCTGTCACTTTTATCAAAATGCCTGTCACCCAAAAAAGTGTACAAGCTACTTTCCAGGCAGAATTGAGTGTTTTTGTCTCCATGGAAAATCCTGAAAAGCACGACATGAACCGTTTTTCAAGTGTTTTCAACTTGCAGCTCCCTGCCCTTTTTTCAGCTTTCCATTGGTCACATAAAAATGCCTGAAAAAAGCCTAACAAAAGCTGCAAAAACGTGCAATTCTGCTCCAAAACGCTCAAAAATGCTTGAAGTGTTACCAAACTCACAACAGTAAAATCAGAATGTATATGCAGTAAAGCATGCTTTTTATGCTCTCTGTGGAGCCGAAGGGGTTAAACATCCGCATTGTGTAAAAAAACAGTTTGATCCTGTCTTTTCTGATCCTCCTCTTTTTCTACTGTCCCTAATCCATCTGCTGATAGTACAGAGCCTTAGGAGGCACTTTGCACATGCTCAGTTTGGTGTTTATTGCTAGAGAGTTTTTTTTTGGGGTGGTGTGAGGTTCATGTGATCAGCACAGAGTAAATGAGCACTGTCCAGACAGAGGATCAGGGGTCATGCAGTCTCCTAGAAAAGTCGGAGGAGAATGAATCTCCTCCTCCAAGATTAACCAGCCGGATACTGACTACTATATACTGCTGATGAGAAAAGGTATTTAGCAGTTTATATTTACTAAAATAATTTCATTTCCATGTTCTGTGTACTGAGGGAGACCAGATATAATGAATGCAGGGTCCTGGGAGACCAGATATAGTGAATGCAGGGTCCGGGGAGAGTGGATATAGTGAATGCAGGGTCCGGGGAGACCAGATATAGTGAATGCAGGGTCCTGGGAGACCAGATATAGGAATGCAGGGTCCTGGGAGACCAGATATAGTTAATGCAGGGATCGGGGAGACCAGATATAGTAAATGCAGGGTCCGGGGAGAGCGGTTATAGTGAATGCAGGGTCCGGGGAGACCAGATATAGTGAATGCAGGGTCCTGGGAGACCAGATATAGGAATGCAGGGTCCTGGGAGACCAGATATAATGAATGCAGGGTCCGGGGAGACCGGATATAGTGAAAGCAGGGTCCTGGGAGATCAGATATAGTGAATGCAGGGTCCTGGGAGATCAGATATAGTGAATGCAGGGTCCGGGGAGATCAGATATAGTGAATGCAGGGTCCGTGGAGACCAGATATAGTGAATGCAGGGTCCGGGGAGACCAGATATAGTGAATGCAGGGTCCAGGGAGACCAGATATAGTGAATGCAGGGTCCTGGGAGACCAGATATAGTAATGCAGGGTCTGGGGAGACCGGATATAGTGAATGCAGGGTCAGGGGAGACCGGATATAGTGAATGCAGGGTCCGGGGAGACCGGATATAGTGAATGCAGGGTCCAGGGAGACCAGATATAGTGAATGCAGGGTCCTGGGAGACCAGATATAGTGAATGCAGGGTCTAGGGCAGCAATGGGCAAACTACGGCCCGCGGGCCGTATACGGCCCGGCGGACCTTTTAATCCGGCCTGCGGAGAACGTGAGGGGAGCTAGGCTCCTCTCACAGTCCGCCCTGAAGACTGGTGTAGCATGAAAATCTGTCTCCTATGAGGATCTGTCCCCCTCGACGTATCTGCGCATGTGCCGGAGATCGCCGATCGGCTGCTAATGCCTGAAACTGGCACATGCGCAGATACGTCGGGGGACAGATCCTCATAGGAGACAGATTTTCATGCTACACCGGAACGGCGCGGGAACACGGCGAGAGGAACGCGCGGAGCAAAGGTAAGTGAATTGACACAGGGGGGACTTGGGGACTTAATATGGGGGATGAATTAATATGGGGAATGAATTACTATAGGGGGGATGAATTACTATATGGGGGATGAATTACTATGGGGGATGAATTACTATAGGGGGGATGAATTACTATATGGGGGATAAATTACTATATGGGGGATGAATTACTATATGGGGGATGAATTACTATATGGGGGATGAATTACTATGGGGATGAATTACTATATGGGGGATGAATTACTATGGGGGATGAATTACTATGGGGGATGAATTACTATATGGGGGATGAATTACTATGGGGGATGAATTACTATGGGGGATGAATTACTATGGGGGATGAATTACAATGGGGGATGAATTACTATATGGGGGATTAATTACTATGCTTACTATGGGGGAATATTACTATACTTACTATGGATGACACATACACATCATTCATCTACTCTTGGTCCGGCCCCCGGGTCCAATATATGAACCCATTGCGGCCCTCAAGTCAAAAAGTTTGCCCACCCCTGGTCTAGGGAGACCGGATATAGTGAATGCAGGGTCTGGGGAGACGGAATATAGTGAATGCGGGGTCCGGGGTTTAGTAACACTTTAAGTGTGAATGTAGCCTCAGTCCAGGCCATATTTTATGTCTATGTTAGTGTTAGTATTATAAAGGATATACTGTAGGTGGGTAGCAGACATTATACACTTTATAGCCAAAAGTGTTTTGGAAACCCCTCTTGCAATTGTTATTAACTCCTTCCCGCCAGCCGCATACATATATATGCAACCTCTTAGTGGGAGGGCCTTAACGCAGAGAGGACACATATATGCCTACCCAAAAAAGCCAGAAATGTGTTGAGAGTGTGTACCGTGCACGCTCCCGACACAGTTACTGCCGACTAACGGAAAGCTCCCAATCTCTACTTGCAGTCAGGAGCTTTCCGATCATCTGACTGCAGTGACAGCCAATCATGGTAGTCACATGATCACAAACCTCACCTTCTGGCATCCAAAATCCCTTAGAGGGCTGGGAGGCGCTGGTGCCAAGAGATTAACCAAAAATATCCAGTAGGGATGTGCTCAAGCCTCTTCAGATTCCATTCAAAATATTCCTGAGTGAGCCCTCCAGGAAGTTCTCACTGTACCGAGGCAATCAAGAGCAGGCAAGACATTCCCCTTCCAGCAGCCACAGATATACACACCCTTTCGGAGAATGCCCAGCCACTTATGATTGGCCCAGTACATGTGACAGCTTCCTGGTAGGCAGGTTTGTTCAGGTGGGTTCGGACTAGGATCTGAACACACATAAACTCATCCCTAGTATTCAGTATGGTTGAGGTCAGGGCTCTCTGCAGGCCACTCAAGTTCCTCCATGCCATACTCATCAAACCTCAACCAATCATTTGTGTTCATTGCTAAAGAAGGTGAGTGTCTCAGGCAGATGATGTTGTCACCTGATATCTCGGGGGGGGACAAAAATGACTGAATCGGGTTTTGCTGTAGCAGTAGGGTTGAGCTTTGTAATGTAGAAATGGCAGTTCCAGAATGCATGTCTCTGGTGACCCTTGGAAGATATTAGAGACCAAGATTCAGCCCACTAGAACCCAACCATAACTAGGGAATCTTCACCCTCAATTTGATGTTGCCTCCTCTCAACCCCTCCTCCTGTCCGCTGTGCAAATCAGGCTTTTTTAATTTACCTTTTGTTTTTAAATAAAAACCTCTTGCCCGCCACCCAATGCACATTACTTGCCTAGGCGAATGACATGCATTTTGCCCACTGTGCCTCCTGGGATATGTACGTCACATATCCCACGAGACATAGTCCTTCATTGGGAAAGGAGGAGGGGGGGCAGCGTGTTATCAGGAGAGCTGGTGGCTAACTCTGGAAGAGCCAACAGCTTTGTGATGACGTCACACAAGATGGTGGAGCTGGACCAGTTAGGGTAACACACTGGACTTTACAGGCATGTGAGTATTTTAAAAGTGCGGGACCTGGAACCAGCTAAGCAGGGGTTAAAAAAATGCGTGGGAAGGGTGAATATCCACTTTAAATATGAGGACTGACCCTTTAATTAAATGACTTTGCTCCTGTTTTTAGCTGTGTCATCTGCTTGTCATGTGACACGCCACTATCGCGCTTCATGTGAGCTTATTGGGAAGAGTACAAAAATAAAAACCAATTTCATTATTTTTTTTTTGTAATCCGACACACCTGAAACAGCGAATCGCTCGAGCCAACAAGGCACAGTGTCTCCATTTCTCTTTAATCACATCAGCCACACCGGTCACTTATCGGCAAACTTAATCCCCGGGGCTCACTCTTCCCGTACAGCCGGCTGATTGGCTGTTTGATTCTACAGAGGGGGTAAGGAGATTTAAGCCTGTCAATCGCCTCTGGAGGGCACGTGACCTCCGCTCTCCAACCTTGGCCAGAATACAACAGGATTAAAAGATTTGCTTTTTTTTTTTTTTTTGCAATTTGTTAAAATAAGTACGGAGGGGAACTCATGTGCCTGCAGATTTAGTTGCATCAGATTTGATTTTCAGGTAGGTGAACTAGATGAAAGACTGAGGACTGCAGATGTGTTCTTCCCGTGTATTATAGCCGGGAGCAGGTAGTCATAGGTGGTGAGCTCGGGTTTTATAATGGCATGTCCTCTTGCTGGGATTTTCAGAGCGTGGGTGTTGACATGGTTCTTGATTTGCTGTTAAAAGACCGCTAAACCCCAAATGAAAAAGTTGCATTATGCGTAAGAACTGCTAATGCCTTTAATTTGCATTCGTAGAAGGACCTACACAATGATGAATTATTTGACTTTTATATGTTGCATGTGCAGCCCCTGGTTGAATAATCCATCTTTGCATGTCTAGGAAATAATGCCTATGAAATATACCTTGATCAACAGCAAGCTATAGAGTCAGAGGGTCATAATCTATGGTTCCCAGGCTCATTTAGGCGGTAACTGGACTCTTAAAGCCTACATGATGAAAAATGTACCTTCCTACTTGATCCAGAAATCTTCACTTTGCGGCCCTGCCTGTGACCGCATACCCTATTTCAAATATCTGCCACTTCACCCTCCAGCTGGGCTACACTCAGGGGGGTTGTGCCATGCCTTAACCCTTTGAGGACTGTAAGATTTTGGAACGCCAAAAAAATTTTTTCTGTTTTTAAAGTTCGTACACTTCAGTTGCTGTAACTAAGCCATTTCATGAAATAATTGGCAAAAAGCTAGATCCATTTGTTGTTTGTTGATAAGAACTAATATTTTGACTCAAACCAAAAAAAAAAGAGTTTTAAGTTCTTAATCAGATGATACACGCAATTACAAACATGGGACAAATATGTCCCTTGGTCCTCAAAGGGTTAAAGGACAATTTGTACCAATGGTCCTTGAACCACTTGAGCTCCAAAAGGTTTTACAACCCTTCATGACCATGCCACTTTCTGCTATTCAGCACTGCACTATTTGCTCCGTCATGCAACGTTGTACCCAAATTAAATTAATATCATTTTTTTTTTCACTCAAATAGAGCTTTCTTTTGATGGTATTTGATCACTACTATTTTTTTTTTTTTTTTTATTATATAAACGAAAAAAACTTGCAACAATAAAAAAATAAAAAAAAATCAAATTTTTTTTTTATAAATTTAGGCCAAAATGTATCCTGCTACGTCTTTGGTAAAAAAAAAAGTGTATATTAATTGGTTTGTGCGAATGTAAAAGCGTCTACAAATGATGGTATATATTCTGGAATTTACACAGTTATAACGCTATACTGTAATGGTGATCAGTGACTTATAAAGGGACTGTGTTAGTGTGGCGGGCAATCAGTGCACCGGCTGACACTGGCTGGGAGTTATGACTAACGGACACTGACATCAATAGTGACACTAATACAGTGATCAGTGCTAATACTGTACACTCACTGTACTAATGACACTGGCTGGGAAGGGGTTAACATCTTGGGGCAATCAAAGGGTTAACTGTGGCTAACAATGTGTTATAAGTGCTGCTTTTACTTTACTGTAAGGCTATTTATTCTCCCTGCTTTGCAAGGAGAATTAACAGCCAGAATGTGATGTATGTGATTAGACACCACTGATCAGCTGACTTCAGACAAAATCATTGGCTGAAATCAGCTGGCAAACTTATGTTGTGTCCAATCACAGCACAGGCCGGCAGGGGGTGCATGCATGCACATCCCTAACTCGGACGTTTGGTCACAATGTACCAGTACGTTGCCTAGCCTGGCCGTGCCGCTGATGGGATGTGTCCAATCACAGCACAGGCCAGCAGGGGGTGCATGCATGCACATCCCAAATTCGGACGTTTGGTCACAATGTACCAGTACGTTGCCTGGCCTGGACGTGCCGCTGATGGGATGTGTCCAGTCACAGCATAGGCCAGCAGGGGAAGCATGCATGCACATCCCAAACTCAGATGTTCGGTCACGATGTACCAGTACGTTACCTGGCCT